TGAAGCATTTTTTTCTATAGAAAGAGAAAAACAAAAATAAATGAAAAGAGAGAAATACCAAACTACAGGTATCTATATTAAACTTAAACATTTTCCACTCTTGCCCCAATTGTAACAATTACAAAAAATGATTGTAATATGGAACTGTCCGATAAAACATTTTCCGTCAATTTAGCCTATTTATACATATGGGGACAATCTCTCCAGAGCTGTCTCGGAGGATTGTCTGGAAATAAGTAGGAAATTCATTTTTTACACCCAAGCCGAAATTAAAAGTGTTGTCAGGCCGAAGCGGAAAATGACTTTTCCCAATCTTTTTAAAATTATTTTTATTTTATTTTTTAACTTTACTGTTAGGGGCTTTGGGAAAATATCACAGGTCTAAACAAACCCTGACATTTCCCTTTAAGAAAAGAAAAGAAAAAAAAGGATTGAGGATGCAGAGTCCTATATCTCTTTTTCTGCAGCCGCTATTATGAATGAACAAGAAGCCTCTATAAGAAGGGGGTTATTCACAAAAGTGTGAAGAGTTTGGAGAAGGCAGGAGAAGTGAACAATCTAGGACAACACAGCTGAACTGGAAAGTGAAGTGATTAGGAGATTTTCCAAATCAGCTACTTTGGCCTAGATTGTTTACTTCTCCTGCCTGCTCCAAACTCTTTACAATTTAGTAAATAACCCCACAAGTGTTCCTGTCCATTCATAAATTGAGGAGATAGTAACTGATACTATGTCCACAATCATGAATGAACAGGAAGTGATGTAGACCACTTCCTGTGCATTCATAACTGGAGACACTGTAAGCTTACTATGTCCTCAATTATTTACAAGTACTGATCGCTGAGTGTTTGTGCTCTTATATCCATCATGACTGCTCTGCCTGTCGCAGGAGGCCAAGCTCTACTCCTTTATGCCACCAATGATGATCATGAAACCACATAAACATAACACTGCAAGACTAGACATACATGGGGAGATGTCTCATGCAAAGTTATAGATAGTGGTACATCCCCATAATCTTGTGCCTGATGAGCAAATGGTGATAGGCTTTGACAACAGGTGGTGTAGTGTACATAAAAGTAAAAGTCTTTTCCCATGTAAGAACATACGCTTTCAATGGTTGGATGCACTTATTAAAAGAGAACTTTACCCATATCTTTGAAATGACAACAAGCACACCTTTAGAAATGTTTAATGATAACAATCTACAAACACATACTTCTAGATAATTGCAGGCTTTTTATTCTCTGCATACCTTATTTCTCTTTTCCTCCCCAGACTTCGCACAGTGGCCATTTTTACTAAGGGCAGATTAATATATGTCCCTTAACTTCCTGGAACTTCACCACATGTGACCATACACATCCTCTTGGGGAGGGTAAACACCTTTCCCTGAGATCTCGTGAGATTACAGATGAGAATTCCCAGCAATGCAATGCTAATGTAACCTTCCTAGGATGCAACACTTGGCACATTACATCATTTGTGCCACAGAGGACCAGGAGGTGCAAAAACAATACATTTTAAGTGGAAGAAAAAGAGCTGCATGCTGAGGTGATATTTAGTAAAAGGGGGTATTACAAGTGATGATCCTCTCTGTGGAACCCAACCAGCACTCTATGGGCAACCTAAACACTGAAGCACTGGTGTGAACCCTATGTACTAAACCGAATACTACATTTTTATTATTGATGGCGTGATACACAAATCCAATTCTCAGAAAGCTGAATGTTCCAATATATCTCACTATGCAGGGCAATGTGAAAAAAATATGGCAAGCAGTAAAAATATAATTTGTATGGCTTTCTAGGTACCAGAGTTAAAGAAAACCCAATACAGTCTTCTCTCTTTCACTGGGAAAGAGACTATGTTGCCCCACTTGATACTCAGTACTGTACCATCAGCTGGCAGGATAGCCTCCCAATAAAGTCATAACTGGATGAGAGACTAAAGGTGCCCATACACTGCACGATTATCGTACGAGAATCGCGGGAAATCCCGCGATCGTACGATAATCGCAAAGTGTATGGAAGGTGTGCAACCGTTTCTACTGTACGGTCGCACGTCTTCCGTCAAACAAGCAGGCTGGAGTTAGTGGCCTGCTTGCTCGACAACTGCCGAACGGGCACACTGCCCGTTTGCAGTCATCGGAAGCCGGCCCTCATTGCAGTCATCGGAAGCCCGCCCCTTGGGGGGGGGGGGGGGGGGGGGGGGGGGAGG